GCACATTGCCGGCTCATGTCCAGCCTTTCGTCTATCAGTACCCCCAAGTCCCTCTCAGCAGAGCTGCTCTCGATCCTTTCATCCCCCAGCCTGTATTGATACCAGGGATTACCCTGACCCAGGTGTAGGAAGCATTGTGTAACATATTGTGTAACCAGATACTTCTTTTTACCCCACAGGGTCATTCACACCTAAATAATGTCCAATAAAAGTAGCAGAATGTACACATTGCTTGCATCTTCTACAGTGGAAAGGGTCTACAGGTAATGATTCCCCTGCTCTGGCAAATTTGCCAGAACCTACTTGGAAGCTTTTTAAAATTGCCGGCATGCTCCCACACAGCTGAGAGGCAGCTAATGCGAGGCCGTTCAATGCCATATTACTTAAAATCTTGAAAGGCGACCCGTCTAGGGTACTCGCCCAAAGGTGCTTCTGGCCCACGGAGAAGCAGGTAGGCTGTTTGGGCAGTGCTAAATTTCTGCTCTGTAGTCACTCAAGGGCTGCTGTGCGAGACTTTCTGCCTAACGGTAGTCACGGTAGATGCCGTGTCTCCATACGTGCGTTTTCTGTGCTCAGCCCTTCCTGTGGTTTCAGTTTGCAGGATAGCCAGTGCAGCTCATGGCTTTTTTTTTCTGAGTGGGACGCTTCTCTTGGCTGAACTGCTGTTCTTTTATTTAGCAAGTCACCTCCCTTTTCAATTCTGTTTAACAGAAAGAAAATGTCCTGGGAATATCTGCATATATGAACATCAGTGACATGCTGATGCAAGGTACGTACAAGAAACAGGCAATCTGTTGTATATTTTTTTTTCACTTTAATTTTAGATTTAATTTAATTTAATTTTAATTATTTTTTAATGCTTGAAGCAGTGAGAATATAAGTGCAGAAAGATGCCCTTTTCTCTTAGCACATTTTATTTTACATTGAGGAAACTGGCATTTTCTTAATCATTTGGGCAATTACCTAGGCAAAACCACCAAATATAATTAAGAACGTATTTCCTCAGAGAGAGCACATAACACTGAGCAGCTCAGCTGTCCAACTACCAGCTTGTGTTTGCTGGAAGCACCTTCAAGGGGAAGATTCTGCTAGAAATGCACACCTAAGTTCAAACCTTCTGCATGGGCAAAAACCTGCTCCATAGCATGGAGTGTGAAAAGTTTAGCAAATGGAAGTTAAACTGAAGGATTGTGAATGAACGGCGCAGAAAAATGGGCTGCTGGTTTGTCTGTGCTCTGTCTGTACACTGACACGACCAGAAGAAATCAGAATTAAAACTGAGAAAAAAGGTATGCATCTGTTTATTTTTTGAACATTTTAAAAAGGTCTCAAAATATACTGCAAAATTAAAAATAATCTTACTACTCTGATAATTGATAGCTGTTAAAAAATCTAGGAATGCTAAAACTGAGACATTTGATAGGGAGAAAGAGTTTAAATAGCCAATTTTGTTTTCTGCATGTTTATTCATTTTCTTTGATGGTGTTTTGTACTGACTGTTCAGTTGGTTGGCGTAACAGCAATGCTGTCATGCGGTGCTTTAGGGGCAGCACGCCGTGTTCTTGCCTTGCCTCTGGAAAGTGGACGTGTCTGGATCAGTGTCTCATGTTGAGCAGGTGGGAGGTTGCAATAGGGATACGGAAGAAGACGACAGAGAGGGAGAGCAGACATCGGCATGGTCTGCTCAGAAGAACTCTCCCACGAAGATAAATTGAACACTATAAAAGCTGAGGATTTAAAGGATGATGTGTCTTCATTTTTAAAGGGGATTTAAAAGTTAAAGTTTGCTGAGCATAGCAATAGATGGATGTATTAGGACAGGACTTAAAGCCTGTGTTGATAGCACTTCTCTGAAACCAAATATTACTGGTCCATACACTGAGCTGCTACCACAGAGTAGCAGATGTTAAATTTCACATCCTGGTGTAACCCATGGTAATTTGTTTGCTTACACTGGCCTTAAGAATGTAAAACCATTCGTCTGGTTTTCACGATGGAATTTTACATGGCATCTGCGTGTCTAATCAGAAAGACACTAATTTGGCATGAAAACATCACACAGCCAGCTAGTACTCACATCCTGGGGAGAAGAAATGCACCAAAACAAAAGAAGTATTTGAAAGCTTCGGTTTGTTTTTTATTTTTTTTTTCCCCCTCTAAAAGCTACAGATCCTTTTCTGCCTGTAGTATATTGCATCTGAATATGTATATTTGCGTGTCTGCTAATTGGAAGGATTCCAGCTTGTATGACTATTGTATACACTGCACCTACTTGTCAGTTTGACTGTGAACACGATCAGTAGTAGTAAGCCAGTAATTGCCTTTTGTTGGTTTCAGATAACAGTAGTCATTTTTACAGGATGTTCAGGCTTGCTTGCCCTTGTTTCAGACAGGGAATTACGATTTTTTTCCAAATGGCTGGAAATCTCTAGCTTTAGCCATGTCTAACATCAGATAGTAACTCCATTAGGTAGTACGTATGTGTAATCATGCACTCCTAACTGTAAGATGACGTTCCACATCACTGGCTATAAATGCTTCAGCTGCTTGTTTTAGAGAAGTGTTAGTAGTTAGTAGATTTGACATATACTTTTCTGCTTGGTAATCTGCTTAGTTCACAGCTTGGTTAAATGTATTTTTTTTTTTTCTTCTCTCTCAGAACTGTTAAAGACAGCCAAAGGTGTTCTGCTAATGATGGTCTAGTGCCTCCAGCCTTGGGCTGCTCAGCTGCAGCAGCCCCGGATGTCCTCTCCCACCTCATCCACGACAAGTGAGTGGACTTTCTTACTCTAGCAACAGCAGACGTGATACCAGGCAGGGTGTGCTGATGCCCGTGCCGTTCGTCAGCTCAGGCACTGACAGCCAGGTGTGGGGCTCTGTGAGGGATACGAGCCAGCGCGTGAGCCCATCCAGGCATTTTAATCTACAAACTCCACTGTGCTGGGACTGGGGGCACCTAGCAGTGTCCTTATTGCCATTCTTCTGCCGTCTTCCCCCATACATGAAAAGGTACACGTGGATGTTGTTTCACTGGGGGGGAGAGGCACTCACCTGTACGTCCAGTGGGTTCCCAGCCTCACCCGAGAAATGGTCAGGCTTCGGCGTGCTCGGGTCCACGGGTCTGTGGTCTGCTCTGGACTCAGGGTTGGGGAGATGGCTGCTTACAATGACAGGGATGCCCTGTATGGATATTACTACCTCTGTATTTGTAAAACTGCAGAGGTGGGTCACATTTCTTTTAAATCTAAAGTTTACTGCAAAGCTTGAAATTCATACATGTGCTGTCTTACCTAAGCAGGTGCCATTAAATTCAGATGTTAGACTTGCTTATGCGAATAGGTATTACAAACTTTTTAGTCGTTTAATTTCACCATCTTCTTTCACTACTTACAATTTCCTCTTATGATTTTCAGCAGTAACCAGGAACAGTTTGATACGGCATGATGACTTCTCATTCCAAA